TTGGTTTTGGCTGCTTGGGGCGGCCAAAACCCTGGAGCCGGCCCTGTCTCCCAAACCTCACCCTATTGGCTGACTTTGGTGTTCCAATAGAATGTAGTGGTCATGGTTGTGGAGGGAGAAGCAGTCTCTCAAGCAGCTAGGAGCAATGCCTTAGAAGGCTTTGAATATCAAAACAGAGGCCTTTAACTGTGAGAGCTGCTCTATTTCAAAAGGAATTATTTGGGGGCTTGGAAATCTGTGAATCTGTGAACTAGGCTCTCTATTCAGCGTGGACAGTGCAGACTGCAGAACACTTAGGTGATTTGTTTTTAGCAACCTATGTTGCTAAGCAGATGGTTTGGTGAGTTTTGAATCACTTGGAGCTTTCTGGGGTGTGTGTGGCTTCATCCCTCTGGAGCAGAGTCAAAGGCTCTCTGTAAAATTCTAGGTGAAGGTAAAATACACATGAAAAGAAGGTGTTGTAAAACTTCAACTGTCTCTCTACCCCATCTAGCTGTCAGCCATGCCCCTGTCTACCTAATAGCCACGAAGGTTGGCAATAGCATTGAAACCTGCTAGCATTTTTGTGTGTTCATGTTATGGACTCCAATGACTTCTGTGTCATTTTCTAATCTTGTTACTATTTCTTTAAAAGAATTTTATTCCAGCTGATTTCAGGGGCAGCATTTACAGCAATGTTCCAACCAGTCAGTTCTGGATGAACTTATCGCAATTGGTGACAGTGCTGCCTTCTTGGATTACCACTAATGCAGTATAATGAAATAAACACACAAAAAGCGCATTCAAGTAACCTTTTGGGGATGACTTAAACTAAAGCCAGGAAATTTGGCGTTAAGGCTTTATACTCTATGCTTAACTCACAATTGTGTCTAAGGGAATTTCAGTCCCTGGAATCCATAAAATCACTGCAGTAGCAGCCCCTTGAAATAGCCAGGAATGGGTTATGAAGCCTCTGGCTTAGAGTTTTAAAGTAATGTTAGTTACACTTGTAATGTCTGTGTAATGGGACTCTGTTAGATGCAAAGAGACACTGTGTAAGCTTTGACAATGCATTTCAGTCCTTGTAGACAGTCTCTGCTGAGTTTTGTTATTCAAGCAAACTTTGTTGCACAATTCCAGTTCTGAGCCTTTCTTGAGCAGAGACTGCAAATGGCACCAAATAACATAGTGGAACTAGGACAGGGGTGGGCATACTATGGCCTGGGGGCCGCATCCAGCGCTTCAGACATTTTAATCCAGCCCTCGAGCTCCCGCCAGGGGGCAGGATTCAGGGCTTGCCCTGCTCTGGTGCTCCAGTCGGGGAGCGAGGTCGGGGGCTTGCTCGTACCATGGCTCCACGCAGAGCCTGCATTCCTGACCCCTTCCCACACCCCAACCCCCTGCCCCAGCTCTGATCCCCCTCCTGCCTTCTGAACCCCTTGGTCCCAGCCTCCACACCCTCCTGCACCCCAAACCCTCATTCCTAGAGCCCGCACCCCCAGCCAGAGCCCTCCCTACCCCACACCCCAACCACCTGCCCCAGGCCGCACACTGAACTCATTTCTGGACCCACCACAGAGCCTGCACCCCCAGCCAGAGCCCTCACCCTCTCCTGCACCCCAACCCCCAATTTCATGAGCATTCATGGCCCGCCATACAATTTCCATACCCAGATGCGGCCCTCGGGCCAAAAAGTTTGCCCACCCCTGAACTAGGAGGAGACAAACACACTAATTTCACTTGTGATTTAAGAATAAATTTGAAATGATGTCTCCAGAGGTGGAACTTCCCAACAACCAGGTACTGCACTCTCTAGCCTGCTTCGTAGGTTTATTTTTGCTTTTAAAACACTTATTATTACTACTACTACTATATTTAATTTCAGGATCACAAAGTGCTTTATGTTAAGTAAGACCCTCCACACTGAGTGATCTGAAGCACAAAGAAGGTTTAGGTCCAGAATTTCCAAGGTGGCCACTAATTTTGTAGTAGGAATGAGCAGTACCCAGAGTTCAGGGAGTGCAGAGATTGCTAGTGCGAGTGGCCTGCAGAGACCTCTCTCCGCAGGGTGCAGGGAAGCCTCTCTCTCACTCATAAGGCTGTGCAAGGGCTGCTCACATTTTGTTTTTTTGCATACAAAAAACAACCACTACAAACTCTCTTTTATTAACCAAAGACAATCACTAACTTTAATATAAAACTGTTTCAACAGAACATCTTACAAAAAGGTGCTCACAGACACTTAGATTACGCTGGAGACATCTGCCTGGATCTTCAGCCAGTTTCCAATGCCAACCTCTCTAGACCGTCAGGCAGTCTCCGAAAAAAGTTAAACTCAATACTCCAACCTTTTCCCAGTTATTCAAGATACCCAATTAATCCTATTACTCTTTCCACCACCCAAGCAATTCATAACCAAACACCCCCGCCTTGTGGCTGTCAGTTCTGAATTCCACCAGTCAAAGTCTCAGCAACTAGACATGCTCTCAGTCTGGATTCTAGCTCCAAAAGGAAACACAAGAGCAGCAAGTCTTTTTATTTTATTTATTTATTTATTTTATTTATTTTTTTTAAGTCTCTAAATAAATGATGCCTGGAATGCACGTCTGTGTGTTGACAGAGATGCCAGGCAAACATCTTTTAAGCACCTGGCAGGATCCCTTGCACATTCCCATGGCCAGTGAAAAGTCGCACATGGATGGCGCTGTAGCCACAAGACATTTAGTCTAATGATATTTTTACTTGGTATCAAGCCAATTAGCTTATGCTGTTTATCTCATTTCATTCTCTCTGCAGTTATATAATGGTTGTCATAATTCCAGGGACACAGGAGTGAATGTCTGCTATCTTACTTGAAAGCTATTTTTATTCTTAGTGGTTTTCTTCATGGCAAATATATATAAATAATTAACCCATATGCTGAATAAGTATCTTCTACCTTGTACTGTTTATGGACCAGTCTATATTAAACTTGTGTGAACACGATGGCACAGGTAGCAATACTCTGGCTATTTAGCATATTCTGTTCAATGTAATACTCAGTGGGGCATCCCTTAGACAGTTAAATATCATGCCTAAGTGCCTGCAGGGTGCTCATTTCACATTCTGTCCAATTA